ACCGAGCGACCAGCAAAAAAACCATGTTGTCTAGAATTGATTTTAGACTTAAGGGCAAAGAATAGACGTGCATGAACTACTTTCTCAAACACTTTCCCAAATGCTGGCAAAATAGATATGGGGCGGTAATCGGATATAGCACCACGGTCCCCAGATTTAAAAATGGGAAGAACAAAAGCCCGCTTCCACAATAAAGGAAAGACACCCATTTTCAATGAAGCATTAAATAAAATAGTTAAAGGAAGGGACAGAGAGTGTGAACATTCCTTGATTAAAATTGATGGAATACCATCAGTACCTATACTGTCTGTAACCCTGATGCCCATCAGGGCCTCCTCAACCTCAATTCTGTCAAACTGCATCTGACTCAAAGGAAGGGTATCCATTTCTATACAATCTACATTCTGCTGGATTGGAGCAGGATCCACAAAAACCGAAGAAAAGAAATCAGCAAACAATGAGCATACTCCGACACCATCGCCGACAACAGTTCCATTCCATGACATCGTAGAAGGAATGACATCCGCACGCTTCTTAGACTTAGTAAAAGCCCAAAACACCTTTGGATCAGATTGCATATTACATATTACTTTCAGCTCTTCAATAATAAAGGATTTTCCATTGCAAAAGTGCAAAATTGTCTTTAATTTCATCCAACACAATGGTAAACATGAAGATTTCAAATATTCTTAGAATAGCCCAAAGAATAACCCTTTGAATTTTTGTCGCTTGTTTAATAAACAGCCTGTATATATAGTCATCTAAATTCTTGACCAAGATTTCATTTAAAAACAATTTAAAAGCGCACCCAGATACAAAGCCAAAACCAACTAACCCCAAAATAATGAGATATAATCCTTGTGTTAGATGATTTCATGAAGATTGGATTCAATATGGAGATTTGGGAAGAATACAAGTTGCATTTTCTTTTCAAACTGAATTGTCCCGTGTATGAAATAAGAGAGAACGCTCCATTATCAACTTTTCGTATATAACGAATAAAAAGTATTTTCACAATTATTTGAGGATTACAATAAATTTTAATTAACATAAAAGCTTTAATAAAAACTTACCGAGCAGGTGGTTCATAAATTTCTTCATCAGAATGATCTAAAATCCCCAAAGACCCGATTTCGGATCGTTTCAAAGTCGCAATTTTTCGTTCCTCCTCCGCTTTCATCTTTTCAATTTCATCCGCGCTTAAATAACTAAAAACCTTTTCCGGTTTCGGCGACGGTTTCTGACTCTCTTCCATCGCGTTTTCAAAGAATTTCAATCGTTCACTCATCGGTACCTTTTTAGTTTTCGGTGAAGGAGGTGGCTAACAAAAAAAATAATAAAAATAAAAATTTTTAAAATACAATATCAAACAATAAAACAAAAATTAAAATAAAACAAAACAAATTTTTTTTATTAAGTTTATTAAAGTACCTTTTGATTTATTTCTAATTCTTGAACACTATGAAACGTAAAATTATCCTTCATATCGACCAAAAACGGATTAGTCACGTGAAAATCATAACTTTCCCCTAAAACTCCTTCCCGGGAAACGCACCGAACGAATTTTAAGTTATTTTGAGGTGCATCTTCGCTTAATAAATTCGAAGTCGATTTAGCCCATGATTTCGGTTTTGTTGGAACTTGAGGGGGGATTTTTGGTTTGAAAACTTTAACATCGTCGTATTTTTTAAATAATTTATCCGCGAACGAATCCGTTTTTTGAACCGTCGATTCCGAATGAATTTTTAAAACATCCAATTTTGGTTCTTCAATAATTGTAGGAGGTGGGGTTAATGGTAAAGGTGGTGGGATATCATCGTTTGGGTCTAAAGTTTTTGGAGATGAAGTTTCTAATTTTAAATCGGGTTGACTTTTTTTTCGGAATCGATTCAAAGTATCATTTAAATTTGAATCTTTTTTCTCAATTTCTTCAATAACTTCTTCTTCTCCATTCTCTACGGAAATATCTAAACTTTTTTCTGTTATAATAAGGGATGAGGCATCACTTTTATTAAATTTTTCAACAAATTCTTCAATTTCTTTATCGAAGGATGGGGTTTTATTGATGAGTTGAATATCATCGATTATTTCTTCCAACTTTTTTACTTCCTCCTCTTCTTTATCTATTACTTCTTCGTCACTTAATGCAAAATCGATTGGGGGTGGGGGTGGAGGCACAATAAGCGAATTTATTTCGATGGGTTCTTCAATAATCGGGGGAGGAACCACAAAATCAAACACAGGAAAATCCTCGATTGGTGGTGGGATATCGCTTAAATTAAACGATGCTCGATTCAAATCTAAATCTTCTTTTTCTTCTTTCGATTTAATCGAATCGTTTTGATGTTCATCCTGAAGATTTTTTTTTAATACAAAATATGATTTAATTCTTTAACCCGTCACCTTTCCTTGCGTACCACTTAAAACACGGATTCAACAACGATTTTGCTTGTACAAACAAACAATAAAGCACAACATACCAAAAATATATATATTTAATAATAAAAATCACAATATTGTTTCCCACTCATTAATGTAGTAAATGCACGAACATTTCACAAATGTCACAATATTTATTTAAAAATAATAATAATAATACAATCTGGGTGATTCTTTAAATTATGGGTTTTAATAATTTACACCCAAATTGTATTAATGACATAAACAATACAAATAGGCACATAAATAAGCCTTAATAATAAAAAAAAATCATTATAATCGGACAATAAATAGCGTACTAATATATATATATATATATACAGGGTGAGTTATTACTATCTTGGCGGTCGATGGTTATTAAACCGTTTGAAAAACAAAAAAATATTTTATACAAAAGTTGTTTGACTCATCACTTTCTATTACAAAAAATTATTTTCACTTATACAGGATGTTAACTTTAAACGTAACGGAGAGTAAGTAGATTTGTTTAAATGGAACACCCTGTATATTTCATCGTATGTGTTACTATTTCACAACGTTCATAGTTCCTGAGACATTCAATTGTTCTTCCAAAATGTGCAAATTACAAGATCTTTTTAAAAACCATGTAAAAACGACATTTTTTCCAATTTTGCCTTGAAACTATGTCAGATAATAGTTAAAGCCAGTAGGTAGATGATAGTATCCAAAGATATTAGATACGCTATACAGTGTGTTCATAAAGCTTAGTTACTTTAATAATAATAATAACCACTTTATTGATGTCAAAAAAAAAACAACAAATATCATTTTACAAGCGAAAGGCAATTTACATAATGTAAGAATTCTGATTTAAAGCCACCCCATACGCAAAGAAAAAAAGTACAAAACAAAATAAGATAATAAAATCCAAATTGGCAATAGATCACCTGTAATTAACAATAAGAGAGAGCTCATTCAAGAGACAGGCGGGTGAAACTCAGAAGTCACTGGTTTGCACAAAATCAAATTACTTTTGCAGAATAGACTTATATCTCTTTCTAAACCTAAACCGGCTAAGTAGTGTGTAATCAAATGGTATACTATTCAGAATTGTAGCTGCTAAATAAGAGAACAAACGGTTAAATAATTCGTGACGGTGAGTAGGAATAAAAATCACATTTTTGTGTCTTAAATTCAAATTATGCACATTAGTTCTATAGGTATAGTAGTATAGGTATAGTATAGTAGTTCTATAGGGTCTACGAGTCATGTCCAGCCAACCAGCGTAAGCAATCATATGAGAGATCCCATCTCCCCGCCTAATACCGTAGACAAATCTGAGGCAAGACTTCTGCACTCTCTGAACTCTTAATGAGTCAAGGGTAGTAAGACAAGACCCATACACCAAGTCACAGTGATTGAATAGAGAAAGAATTAGCGAATCACACAATAACAACTTAGTTTCCTTATTCAATATCTGCCTACTTGGGTATAACATTTTTAATTTGCCATACGACTGTCATATCAAATTGTTGATATGATTACAACACCTTGAGTTTATCCACGATTGGTACAGGATTGTGAAGTATCTCAACATTAGCCGCATCATTCAAAAACAGCTTTCTGTAGCTCTTCGCAACCAAAACAATCATAGAACACTTCAATGGATTCAATCTGAGTTGGTGTGCCTCAGACATAGCAGCCAAATGATCTAGATCAGAATTTATTAGATTCACTGCTTCTTTAATTTGATTGGATGGAAAGGAGTAATAAACCACAGTGTCATCTGCGTAGAAGTGATATTTGCAATATTTAAGGCAATCAGGAAGAAAAGATGTCTAAATAGAAAATAAATCTGGGCCCAATATAGATCCCTGTGGTACACCTGATTTCACCTCCAATACATTAGACAACTCATCATCCATTCTTACTCTTTGTGTTCCGTGACTTAGATAATTCCTTAACGTTTCAACCAACCCATCACTCAAGCCAACATGGTGAAGAATAGAAAGCAAAATACCGTGATCAACTGTATCGAATGCCTTCGTATAATCCAAAGCTATTAGTACCGTGATAACTCCGATGCTGCAAGTATATCATCAGTGACACATGATAGCGCAAACATATGCTTAAGCAGTTGCACAGATATTATTTTTTCGAAAATTTTCGACAAAATAGGCGGTGTTAACCGGCCTCAAGTCCTTCCGCGATGATGGCTGCGGAATCTTGGGAATAGGAATAACAATTGATTCCTTCCAACAGCAAGCGAAGCCAAACAAGGTAATACAGGAGTTGATAATGGTCGTATTGGACAACATAGCTTAAGAATCTTGAGATTAATACCATCAGCACCAGTGGCATTAGACTTAATTTGCACCATCGCGTCTTCAATGTCTCCATCGTTGACCTCAGTGAAATGTAAAATTTTGTTAATACCATTTTTTTAGTGAAGAAGAGTATTTTAGACGCACACCATCTTTCGAACTAGAACAGTTACAAAATACGTATTGAGTATATTACCATCCTTAAGATTTTCTGGTATATTATTATTAAGTTTATTAACAATTTTGTCATTGTTACGTAAGAATTTCCATTTGTCTGAATTAGACACACTCGACAGCTGCTGCATAAAGAAAGCTTTTTTCTCAGCTCTTATAGCATCCGTAACACAATTTCTCAAGTTTCGATAATAATTACCATCATAGTCAGTATGGGTTGATTTATACTTTTTTTAAGCTTTTTCGCGGAAAGAAACCATTTTTTTAATAGTATAATAAGTAAAGCAAGGAGGATCCCTTTTATGACCAATATCAATTACTTTTAGTTGAGCGTGATTCAAGACATGCAAAAGATTATAATTAAAGAATGCCATCTTATCATTGATGTCTGCCATATCATACATAAGGTGCCATGGTACCGCCATCAAATCAGTTAAGAATAAATCGTGATTAAAACTCCCAAAACTCCTTATTGTACGAAATTGAGGTTTCTTCTCACATAATGCTGCACAATGGTCCGAAAATTCCACATCAATCAGTCCTTGTTCATAAACAACGGAATCATCAAATACCATAATGTTATCAATTAAAGTCTGAGAAATATTAGTTATCCTAGTTGGTTCTGCTATAATAAATTTTAAATTAAAAGTACCAACGGATTCACATAACCGCTTCATTCACTACTATTAAAATTAAGAACATCAACGTAAAAATCACCCATGCAGAATACCTCGTCACCCAGAACACTGACGCAGAAACGAGAAAAGTTTCCAAAATGGGTTTTATAGACAACCCCAACCACAACAACAATACCATCAAAATGCAGTTTGATCCATAATTGTTCCAAGGCATCAGTAAATTCTGTCATCAATAACAACGGCCTAAGACAAGATTGTAGGTAAATTCCCACTCCTCCCCCATGAGTCGTTCTAGACTCATGCAAAAATGTAAAATTATCTATAGAAACTTGACGCAAATCAAAATCAGAACGAATTAAAGTTTCAGTAACTGCAAGAACACAACAATTCTCACTTACTACAAAGTCCCTTACATCTGCAAAATGGCGAACCAGCGACCTGGTGTTCAAATGTCCCAACCTCAGTAATTATTATCTAATTTGTAATATAGGTGCTTCTCAGGTGTGTTACAGAGTCATAAATAATGACATTTTATTACACATTTTTCTTTAAATTCTAAATATCAGGGAAATTATTAAAATTAGACATGACATACTTATCATTAATTAAAGGTAACTTGATGGGCAATTCAACCAGCACACAATATACAGACTGTTCCATTTAAAAAACTTATGAAAAAGCCATTTGAAAGACATCAAAAGTAACTAAGTTTTATGAACACGCTGTATAGCGTATCTAATATCTTTGCATACTATCATTTACCTACTGGTTTTGACCATTATCTGACATAGTTTCAAGGAAAAATTGGAAAAGATGTCGTTTTGACATAGGTTTTAAAAATATCCTGCAATGGACACATTTTGGAAAAACTATCGAATGTCTCAGGAGCTATGAACGCTCTGAGTTAGTAACATATACGGTGGTATAAACTAATTTAATTCTATTCATAATACGATAAAATATACAGGATGTTCCATTTAAAAAAATGTACATACTCGCCGTTACACCTAAATAGAACATCCTGTATAAGTGAAAATAATTTTACGTAATAGAAAGTGGTAAGTCAAACAACAGTTGTAAAAAATACTTTTTTCTTTCCCAAACGGTTTAGCAACTATTGTCCGCCGGGATACTAATAACTCACCCTGTATATAATATACAGGATGTCCAGAAATGACGTGTACAACGCAAGACCACAAGTACCTTGACCAAAAATATGATGATTTACCTCAACTTATCTATATACAAAATTGCTTAGTTTAGCCGCTAGAGAGCTTTAAAAATAATATGTTTTTTAATTTTTTTTTAAGTAAGTCGAAAAATTCTCTATGGATTTTATTCATTTTTTGGGCATGGATTTCTATCAGCAGTCTACAGCTATTTGTGGAATAAACTCTAATTTCGAAAATTATAGAGTGTTTAAAAACTGCGTAACAATACATTATGCATCCATATCTTTTTAACCCCGTGTACAAACACTACCATTTTTTTTTCTGAATAGTTACTTTAATTTAGAAACTATTTTCTCTCTTACAAAATTTCAGTTGGGTGAACGGTTTAGCCACAAAAAAATGTTCTGTAAATCCCCACAAGCGCGAATGAGTGATACAAAGTAAGTAAAATTGTTTTTTTTTAATAGTTGGCTAGGTATAATTAATTTTAAAAACAAAAACAGTTTGTCACTTAAACTTGACAGCAGTATTCGTATTTTTCATTTTGCGTTTTATCATTGATTCATCATGAATTTTTAAAGAACTCTAGCGACTAAACTAAGCAATTTTGTATATAGATAAGTTTAGTTAAATCTTCGTATTTT